GACTTTTTCTGAAGAAGGGTCTAGGCCCGAAACGTCAGCCTTCCTGCTCCTATGATGCTGCTTGGCCTGCTGTGTTCATCCAGCTCTACACCTTGTTATCTCAGATTCTCCAGCATCTGCAGTTCCTACTATCTCTGATTGCTTTTCAAAATGCCTATTTTAAGGATTTAAAGCATGAATCTTTTGAAATTTGATTCTTGGATTCCTTTTTTTAACTTGATGATCCTCTTTTGATATAATCCAGAGACATGTGATGGCTGTCATTTGTTAGACTTCAGATTCTGCTGAATTGTACGCTGGTGTGGATCCATGCACTGTGCCATAGAGTCATATCACATGGTCTGTTCATGCAGAGTTACTTGTCCATCTACTCTACCACTGTGTGAGAACAGCTTCACTGTTCTTGTTGCCTTTATGGGGCCATTGCCTGAGATTGGGAATGCATTGGCAAGACACCCACAGTGGTAAACATCCCCACCCTGCACTTTGGGATATTGCATTATGGAGGCTCAGGGCACTGCATTGGCGTGATCACGTACCTCAATAGATTTTACTCAGAAATCAAGCTCCTGAATGTGTACTTTTTATGTGCAGGGCCCTGAATTCAGAGAGTTTCTACTCACAAAGCTCATCAATGCAGAAACGGCTTGTTACAAGTCTGAGAAGTTTGCAAAGCTGGAGGTGAGGACGCACATTTAACATATTCAAGGAATGCTCAAGAGTGATCTTTATCAATCGTGACAATACTGGTGTCTAAACTGCTGTGTGTGCCATTTAATTGAAATAGTCTGTTTTCAGTGCTGTTTTGGAACCATAAAATGTACTTCACTGTGTCAGGTCAGGCAGTATGTTGTCTTTTATTTTTGTTTGCCTACTGTCTAACTTATACAGTGTACAAGAGAACGTTCAGGAAACTCTTGTTCTAGGTCTCATTAAGAAATATGTGTTTTCAATCTCGTTGCGCAGAACCGTACACGAGCAGCACTGTTGGACAACCTGCACGAAGAACTCCACAGTCAGACACAGGCAATGTTGGGACTGGGGTCTGATGAAGAGAAGATGGAAAATGGCGGCCACGGAGGATTCCTGGAGTCTTTCAAGGTAAAGCCATCTATTTGAACAAGTTACATTCAAATCTGGCACATCAAGATGTGATTGTACAGGAGGAGCTGCAAAGAAGATTCACCAGGATGTTGCCCAGGAAGGAACATTTTAGCCATGATGAGAGGCTGGATAAGATCGGGTTGTTTTCTTTAGTTCTGAGAAAGCTGAGGTGGGGTGGTACCTGATTGAGGTGTATAAGATCATGAGGAATGTGGACACGGTAGATGGGAAGCAACTGGTCCCCTTAGTTGATGGGTCAATGAAGAGCGGGCATACTTTGAAAATGAAAGTCAGGAGGTTTAGGAGGGGATTTGGGGAAAAACGTTTTCACCCAGAGGGTGGTGAGAATCTGCAATGCACTGCCTAGGAGGGTACGAGAGGTGGGAAACCTCACAACGTTTAAAAAATTACATGGATGAGCACTTGAAATATCAAAACACTCCAGGCTATGGGCCAAGTGCTGGAAAGTAGTGTAGATAGGTGATGGGGTTATTTTGTTGGTGCAGACTCGATGGGCCAAATGGCCTCTTCTGTACTGTATGACTGTATCAGACGTGCTGTTCTTATCTGTATGAATGCAAGGGGAATATCAAAATGACAGTAGGACATTCCACTTATCATAGATTCATAGAGACCTAAAGCACAGAAAGGGTCTTTCGGCCCATTGTGTCTGCACTGCTCAGAAACAACCACCCAACTGTTCTAATCCCATCTCCCAACACTTGACCCGTCCAGCCCATTTCTGTTATTTGTTGGCATTCCATCTTCCTTAAAACCCTTACTAGACAAAAGTCTAGCAGTATCAGTCTTAAAAAAATTCAGCCTTTTGAGGGGAAGTGTACTGCTAACCTTACTGTGAAATTGTGCTTTCTCATTTAAATCCTCATTGTCAGGCTCTCATTTTGAGATATACTCACTCTTATTTTCGATTTCCCTGCTCGTGGAAAAGATTTTGAAAATTTACCCTATTCAAAACTTTTTATTGTCATAAAGACTGGATCGGATTGCCCACGATTTTCTAACCCCAGAAGTACAAGCCAGCGACCTATCCTCCTAATATAAACCTTAAAGCTGCTGGTATTCAAGTGAATGTGCGCTGTCACAAATTCTGGAAAAATTCTGTCTAAAACCAAAAACAGCATTGCGATCCACCCGCAATACAAATCTCCCTTCTTTCTTGGATCTTGAATTGCTGGACATCACCAGAATTTGTTGTTTATAGAGTCGTACCACATGGAAACAGACCCTTCATCCCAACTTGTCCATGCCGACCAGGTATCCCAAACTAGTCCCATTTGCTTGGGATTGGCCCATATCCCTCTAAACCTTTCCTATTCATGTACCTGTCCAAATGTCTTTTAAATGTTGCAATTGTACCTGTCTCCACCATATCCTCTGGCTGCTCATTCCACGCACACACCACCCTCTGCATGAAAAAGTTGTCCCTCAGGTCCCTTTTAAATCTTTCCCCTCTCACCTTAAAAATATGCCCTCTACTTCTGGACTCCCCTATCTTTGGAAAAAGACCTTGGCTATTCACCTTATCATGCCCCTCATGATTTTATAAACCTTTATAAAGTCACCCTTCAGCCTCCAACGCTCCGGGGGATAAAGGCCTAGCCTATGCAGACTCTCCCTATAACTCAAACCCTCAAGTCCCGGCTTTCCGTTTGATTTGTTGACATTCTTCACTTAGAGTGTTGAGTAGCTTCGATTTTAAAGTTACAGCCTGGCTTGGTAGTAACGCAGCTACCTTTTGAGTCAGAAGGCTGTGGGTCTACATGCTAGACCGAAGACCTGAGCACACAATCTAGACTAACACTTCAGTGTGAGGCTAGTGGAGGTGGCGAGTTTCAGAGGAGATATTAAACCAAGGCTCCTTCTGCTGTCTGGGAACGGACGTGATTACTTGAAGGGGAGCTGTGTCAGCATCCTAGTCAAACTTAGCCTTCAAACAACATCAATGTCCCTATATATCGTCTTGATTATTTCTCTTGGCACTTGTTGTGAGATCTCGACTGTTGTATTTGTCCAGCGCATCGATCACTTGTGAAGTACTTTGGTCAAGCTGAGCACATAATTTGTAAATTCTTTAAGTGAAATTACACAGTTGACCCTTTCATTGGTGACAGAGATTTTAAAAAATAACACGAATGACAGGTGGAAAAGAAGGGAGGAATAAGGGCCTCATGTACAGCAGAAATTCTGTGCTGTTTAAGTGTGCTTCTGATATTTAAAAGTTTGTCATCTTCAGCTGTTTTGCCTTGAAGCAAAAGCAAAGTTGAAAAGAAAAGGGCTTTAATCCCAATCTTTTAATGTCACCTCATGACACATATATAAAAACAATCAAGGTTGGAATAATTTGGGAGAGGCACTAAAACTCTCACCCTGAATTGTTTTTCACCCCTGACTGATTTTAATCTGCAAACAGTAATATAAAAGAATATGCAGCTGCAGTGAGTCAGGGATAAAAATAAGTCCTATTGACAAAAACTCTTGATGTTTTTAAGCTGAAACATTTTTCGCATTCCAGGCCCAGTTATCCTTGAACAGTTGATTTTCCACTGTAAACAGGGAGGAGAAACCAATAGCTTTTTAAAATGGTTTAGGAGTTTAGTTTTGTGTTTGGAAATTGGGGTTCTGAAATGGGACAGAATTACCATGGCACGGTGTAGCTCTATCAGGGCTGTAACTTTGAAGACAGAGATGGCAGAATGGCATTGCAGTGTTGGTTACCTTGTGTTACTTATGTATGGTGATTGCGAATGCCCACCAATGATAAGGAATAAATGAGAATAGACATGGAATGCTGTTTGGAAAAATGACGTGTGCAGGGTCTGCTGCTGTTTTCCGGTGCTTTACTCTCCTACTATCCACATACTCATCTGACAGATGGTATTGTGCAACTGAGGATTAGCCTGCACTTTCTGGTCCTGTGTTTTTCTTTGAAGCTGAGATAAATCTTGATTGGGCCACTCAGAAATTAACGTTAGAACAGTAATTGTGCTCAAATGTCCTGCTGCAACAACTGCTTATACTTATGTAGCACAGTAAATGTTCCAGAAGTGCTTTACAAAAAACATTGGCCGTGCCCCCAACATTGTATGTTTTCGGAGAGAGTGGGTCATAAAGTAGGTCGGGTGGCTTGGTGTAAATGAGGCCAATGTGTGACGAAGTTTTGGTTAGTCTCAGAGTTGCAGAGCGGAAAAATACTGCCCAGGACACCCTTGTGGGTTTGGTGCTGACACAAATTCTGAGGGCAGATTTATGGGGCAATGCCATTTACTCACCCAATCTTACCATGACTAAAACAAGAGGGACACACTGGTGATGCTGTAAATTTGAAATGAAAACCAAAACTGCTGAACATTCACTGAGTCTGGCAGGAGTGGTTGTGCCCCTTCCTCTGGGCTCAAATCCCACCTGCTCCGAAGGTGTGTCACAACGTGATTTTGAAATATGCATTAGAGAGACACTACCAGAGCTCTTGATGCTCAATGGTATCTCTGGGACAGCAGGTTTGAGTTTAAGTCCCACTTCAGGATATGATGGCCACAGACCTACATCATAAAATAGCCAAATAGGTTTGGTTACAAAAAATTATAAAGTGACATTTTCTGTAACTGTGGTGTGGTTGAGCTGGGAGGCATATGCTTGTAATGTGTCAGTCTGTAACTAAATGTGAGTCAGTTAAAAACTGGTTTCAGTAACATCCTTTATTAACTGGCTTTAAAAATAAAAAATGCAGAGAGACTATCTACATTGTGTTATAGGTATAAGCTGAGCGAACCAGGAAGAAAATCATAGTGAGCTGAGAAGCACAAAAAGTTCAAAACAAGCCATGCAGGTTTATAAGACTGGTTGTTTTGGAATCAGAGGCAGGGACTCATCCTGCACTGCGCACACTCATCTTTCTTTCCAAATTAGAGGGCTCTCCGTGTTCGCAGCCACTCAATGGAGACCATGGTGTCAGGTCACAAGAAGCATCACAGCGGAGGGTTGCCAGGCAGCCAGAGTGGTGGGATCTCGCACAACGTGGTAGACATCATCAAGCACCCTCCTAATGTGAGTACATGTCACTCCACCCTTAGGCATGCAGCAAAGTGCCTCTCAGTAACTATTAGCTGGGACTCTTATTTCCGTTTGCAGGAAGGTCCACCCATGGTGATATTACGTGATGAAATGGTAAAGCCACAGGCAAGGACCATTTGGCACATTACTCCTGGCTTGATTCCAAGGTGGCACAGTGGTTAGCACTGCTACCTCACAGCACCAGCGACCTGGGTTTGATTCCGGCCTTGGGTGACTGTCTGTGTGGAGTTCGCATGTTCTCCCTGTGCTCCAGTTTCCTCCCACAGCCCAAAGATTTGCAGGTTAGATGGATTGGCCATGCTGAATAACCCCATAGTGTTCGGGGATGTGCAGACCAGGTGGATTAGCCATGGGAAATGCAGAGTTATGGGGGGAGAGGGGGTGGGTTGCATTCCCACGTGAATGATGCATTCCCAGCCGGAGTTAGTGAAAACATAAGAGAGTGTGGCAAAATACCTGCACTGTCGACATCACCAGCTCGGCTGTGAGGGGTGTATGACTACCTTTTGTGTCTCCTGAAGCTCTGGTGTGGGATGAGTGAGTTCAAAGATCTAGGGTATCCAGGTCATGTACATGGTAACTGCACAAGACACTGAGCCATGTCCTGCAAGAGTTACCTAAGGCATTGGCCAACCTCAGATTTAATTCCCAGGGCTGAACTCTGCAGGATAGCCTGTGAGCCCAACATCAGTCCTATTTGCACTGATGGCAGGAAGGTCCTGGTTTCTTTTTATTCATTCATGGGATGTGAGCATTTATTGCCCATCCCCTAATTGCCCAGAGGGCATTACTGTGGGCCCAGAGTCACATGTAGTGTGTGACCATGTCCAATAAGGACAGCAGATTTCCCTCCCTAAAGGACATTAGTGAACCAGATGGGTTTTTGTGACAGTTTGACAGTGATTATGTGGTTACTGTTAGTTTTTTTTTAATTGAATTCAAATTTCACTGTCTGCCATGGTGGGATTCGAACCCACGTCCACAGAACATTGACCTGGTGTTCTGGATTGCTACCCCTGGTGACACTGCCACTATGTCACCACCTCCCTCCTAAATCGGTAATTACACATGAATTAAAACGCTATAAACCCATCGATCCACAAGGTTGGAGCATTATCCAACCTTGTGAGAAGGTTAACTCTCAATGTTAATTTTGTTTCATGGCTTTGGCTTCACAACTACAGATGTGACCTTAACTAACAGTTTATATAACCTGTGATATAAACTGTCCATGGCATTGTTGCCGGAGTAAAGAGAAACTGCTTGAAGATAGAAAATTTATCAGATTCCGCTGACATCTGGATCACATTGCTGTTCTCCTAGTTCTGTGGGCCATACTTCATCCATTTCTGCAATGATGTAACAATCTCGCTCTGTAACAAATGTTTCATTTAATTTGGCAGCAAGCAAAGCTTCTGAAGAGCCCAGTGAAAAGGAGATCAGCTCTCTTCCCTCGAACCCATACAAGTTCAGACAGTCAGTTGGATGGGAGACCACGCTGGTAAGTATGTGATCTCTGGAGTGCTTTATTTGCCCTGGCTTTTGTAAGGTAGAATGATAGAAGCTTACAGCACAGCAGAAGGAGGCCATTCAGTCCATCAGACCTGCACTGACTCTTCGAGAGAGCAGTTGTGTTTAGTCCAACATTCCCACTATCCCATATCCCGGTATATCCCAACATATCCCAGTAAGCTCCTCATTGGCAAGTGAAGTGTCTGATTCCATGCTGTACAGCTCTATGACTTTATGACTCTACTCATCCAGCTCCCTATTAAAGTTATTGAGGGAATCAACTTGCACCTTTTCAGGTAGAACATTGAGATGTAAATGTTCTCTGAATAATACCATTTTGCTTCACCTTCTCTGTAGCTACAGTTCCAGTGATTTTAAAACTATTTATTTCCTGTTTTGCTCCCTGAAATCCTCTTATTTTCTTGATAATATGTTTAAGAGGCATTTACACAGTCATGTGAACAGGCAGGGAATACGGGGATATGGACCATGTGCAGGGAAATGGGATTAGTTTAGAGTGGCATCATGGTTTCCCTGTTGTACTGTACTCTCTTCTAAGTTCTTTAGTTCAAACTCCCTCCATTTTGGCTGAAATTCCTCATCCCCGATGACATCTGGTATCCTTTCTAATGTCTTTACATCTTTCCTGAAATCCTGATACCTAGGATGCTCCACACTACCCCTACTAAGGACTAATCATGGACAATCAAGCCCTAGCAATGCTAACTTTCTCGTTATATTCTGTTCCTGGGTGGCACGGTGGCTCAGTGGTTAGCACTGCTGCCTCATAGCACCAGGGACCCAGGTTCAATTCCACCCTTGGGTGACTGACTGTGTGGAGTTTGCATGTTCTCCCCATGTCTGCGTGGGTTTGCTCTGGTTTCCGCCCACAGTCCAAAGATATGCAGGCTAGGTGGATTGGCCATGCTAAATTGCCTGTAGTGTTCGGGGATGGGTCTGGGTGGGATGTTCTGAGGGTCAGTGTGGACTTGTTGGGCCAAAGGGCCTGTTTCTACACTGTAGGGGTTCTATGAAGTTCCTCTATTTATAAATCCAAGCAGCCCAAGTCTAATGGTCAGTGAAGATTCTGGTATTAATATGTACCATGGAAGGTTAATTCTGGTAAGCGATATTACTGGATGAGTTACCATATATGTAACCTATTCAGTGTCAATGTCCTTTTGTGGACTTCTGTGTCGATGTGCTGATTAACAATTCCTTGATTTAAATATTATTGTCCATATTTCCAAAACTCTCCAGTGGTTTTGCTCATTCCTCTCTCAGTAGTCTAAGAATCTTTTGCACTCTCTGCATACCTACAATATAAGAACATAAGAGCTAGGAGCCGGAGTAGGCAATTCAGCTCCTCAACCCCGCTGCACCATTTCATACCATCATGGCTGATCTCATTTCAGCTTCAACTCCACTTCGCTCACAGTGCTTTCTTCTGCAGATTCCCTTCTCCTCATCATTAGCAGCCATTCCACAATCAATCAAGGCCCTAAACTCTGAAATTCCATTCCTAAATTGCTGACCCTCTCCTCATTTAAGATATGCCTTAAAACCTACCCCTTTGACCAAGCTTTCAGTCACCAGTTCTGGTATCTCTTTGTGACTTGGTGTTACATTTCCTGTGAAACGCCTTGGATTGTCTTTTTAGGTCAAGGGTGCTAGGTAAATGCAAGTTGCTGATGCGTACGTTTAATGGAAGACCCAGAACTTGCGTGGGATAATGCATTTGACACTGTCAAAGAGATATGTTTCATTTAAATACCAGAGAAAGCAGATAAAATCACGTTACTGATCTCCAAGCAGGAAGGATTACCCTCATGTCCTTTCCCACAGTCAGGCTTTGCTCTTTTGTGGTAGCTATCTTACGTTTCACATAAAGGGTGCCTTAACCTTGGCGATCTGCAAAATCCTTCAATTTATTCTCACCAGTTATAGCTCCATTATAGCAGGGAAAGAGTGCAACTACATGGAACGAGACAGAGTTTTTCAACCACAGAAACAGGCCATGGTCTGTTTTGATACTTATGCTCTCCTCCATTCCTATTGCGTATATCCTTCTATAGGTTAACTTTCACACAGAGCAAAATCTGACTCATGCCAAAGCCAGGCAACGATGAATGCACATTGCTGGGAAAAACTCAGCAGGCCTGGCAGTACCTGTGAAGAGAAATCAGTTCTGGAGAACTGTTCTGAAGACAGGTCACTGGACCCGAAACATTAACTCTGATTTCTCTCCACAGATGCTGCCGAACTGTTGAGTTTTTCCAGCAATCTCTGCTTTTGTTTCTGATTTGCAGCGTCCACAGTTCTTTCATTTTCTTCTTTAGCTATGAATGTACCATTTGTTTGAAGTGTATAAGGAATTGATTTCATTGCACCAGGAGATAAGACCAAGATTTTCAGTGTCACTAAGGTAACATTAAGGCACAAATGTACAGGAAGAATGTTCTCAAGCTGTGGCACTGACATATTGACTTCCATTTTTCTCGAACAGCGAAAGTCTCTCGAGTTTGTCAAAGGCGCCTGAAAGTAGTCAGATCTCATCGGACGTCAGATGGGAAGCATCATCCAATCCAAGCTCTCCTGAAATGGGTCCCAACAAAGACAGGTAATCTTCACAGTACAGTGTAAAATGCCAGGAGTAACACAAGGACATTCCTCTCTTGACATTTTCATTGACATTTGGTTCTGAACTGCACCTTTAACGACACGTTTCGCAGTAGGAAACATAGCCAGAAGTTCTTAGTATCATTGCAATGCCCAAGGAGGCCATTTGGCCCATTTTGTCCATATCTGGCTGTCCAAATGAGCAGTTGCTCAGTGCTATTGTCCTGCCTCCTGTCCATAGCCTTGCACATTCTCCCTTTTCTGATGACAGTTTAATTGCCACCTTTGTAACACTCTCAAACAGTGCATTCCAGACCTTAACTATTCATTGCATCAAAAAAGTCTGTCCTTGTATTGTTCTTGCTTCCTTTGCTAATTACTTAAATCTGCGGCCTCTCATTCCTAAAGCTTTCGCAAATGAGAACTGTTTCTTCCTACCTCCCTCTCTATCTGGAGCCCTCATGTTTTTGAACAGCTCTATGAAATCTCCTTTCAGTCTTAGACCATAATACCATAAGAAACAGGCCCCTTGAGCCCGCTCCACCATTCAATAGAATCAGGGCTGATCTGATAATCCTCAACTCCACATTCCTGCCTTTTCCCCATAACCCTTGATTCCCATGCTGATTAAAAATCTATCACGTTTCCTTATACTGATTTACGTTCCCAAACACTAGACACATGTCCTTTCCAATCTGCTAATGCTCTAGCCATGTATGTTCATAGCATCCCTACAGTGTGGAAACAGGCCATTCAGCCCATCAAGCCCACACTGCATCCCACCCAGACCTATCCCCCTATAACCAAACTAATGTACACATCCCTGGACACTATGGGCAATTTAGCATGGCCAATCCACAAGCCTGCACATCTTTGGACTGTAGGAGGAAACCGGAGCACCCGGAGGAAACCCACGCAGACACTGGGAGAATGTGCAAACTCCACACAGACAGTCACCCGAGGGTGAAATCGAACCTGGGGTTCCTGGTGCTGTGAGGCAGCAATGCTAACCACTGAGTCACTGTGCCGCCCTGTATGTTGCTCATACACCTTTTCTTTCTGAGGCAAGTTCACTTCCCACAGGCACTCACCCTCAAATCCTATTTGTAGCCACCATTGACAGCGCTGTCCGATTTTCCACCCAAGTGGGGAAGGTGGCATGGTCCTGGCTTCTCATGCTGTCTTTCATCATTCTTCACCAGGACCTATAGCAAACTCAAGGAGAACGACAAGGGCAACATCTCCCGTTCTTCATCAAGCACAAGCAGCTTCAGCAGCACGGCTGGTGACAATGAAGCTTTGGAGGACTATGAGTCCAGCGCAGTGAGTATAAACAGGCTGTGCCGTGGGAAAAGCTGTACACAGTTTCTGGGTGAGGTTAATTCTCGGTGTGCATTTGTCAATATAGTGGTGCTTGTTCAGGATGATTATTCTTGTCCCCTACTCAAGCATTAATTCTGCGTAACTTCAAATATTCCTGTAAGGAAATGAGGCATCCTGTTAATTTTTCAGGGCAGAGTGATTATTAAGCAATAATTATCGCTTCTTACATCATTAAAGACTCATCTGCTCTTAAGTGTATCAGCCCTAATTTTTTAGTCCATTTAGTCTGGAGTTAGTTGGTCAGTTCATGTTATTAGAGTGATTTCTGAACAACATTTTAGGCAAGAACGAGAAACAGTACACCTTGTGGAAGAGCAGAGAATCTCTAATAGGAACCTCTGAACTTCTATGTTGAACTGTGTGTGTGAGAATGCTAGAATTTCAATTTGCCTCGTACTAACTGTAGATGCTGATCGCCTCATAACGATTCTTACAGCTATTGAGTAAATGCATGGTAGAGTACAACTTATTGATCATTATTATATCACATGCCTAACTGGTTTACACTTTCTCTATGTATACAGGGTAATCAGCCATCCATAGCATCTCCTTTCCGACAAGATGTCTTTGTCTACGGCAATGAAAACCAAAGCAGCCCAAATCAAATGGGCTTGTGCAAGAGCCCCACAGGTCGGCATTTCTAGAGTTCTACATTCTTACCTGACATCCCGAAAGCTTAGCCAATTGCCCCATCAACTGCACAGGACCATTGAGGGGTTAAGCCATAATGCTAGTTCCCATTCAAAGTTGCTACCTAGTTGTAGACCCTAGTCTGTCTGTCTGGACTGTTCCCCTGAGCCACACACCATACAGAAATCCTGGAACTCCTTTCCTAACAACCCTGTGGGAGTCTCTACACCTCAATGAGATTGCAAAGGGCAGTTCACCACCATCTATTTGACAGCAATTAGGAATGGGCAATCAATGCTGGCCTAGCCAGCAATGCCCACATCCCAACAGCGAATACAAAAACAAATATTCGTTGCAGAGGCAGAGAGGACTGAGCTTGAGAGCTTTCAGCAATGTGTGGGTTATGTTAATGCACTGGAAATCCAAAAGCTTAGAGAAGGTGAGTTCCAATCTCACCATGGCAACTTGAATGCAATTTTAAAACTCTGGGAGTAGAGGCTGGTTTGGTCAATATGTGACTCCCGTCCTACACCAATGTAACTGTTCTCCGAATAAAGATGAACCATTTCCATCGGTTGGAGGTTTGAGAACTAGGGGGCATTGTCTGAAAATTAGGGCCAGACCATTCAGGAGAGATCTTAGAAAGTACACACAAATGGTGGTAAATGTTTGGAACTCTGTTACACAAATGGCTAGATCATCGTTAGTTTTAAGTCTGAGATAAACAGGTTTTTGTGAAGCAATAGGCCAAAGGCAGGTATGTAAGGTCACAGATTAGCGATGATTTCATTAACTAGTGGAACAGACTTGAGGGACCGAATGGTCTATTCACTCATAGAATAGAATCCATACAATGTAGAAACAGGCCATTCAGCCCATCAAGTCCATACCAACCTTCTGAAGAGCATCCCACCCAGACCCACCCCTGCATTTCCCATGGGTAGCTCACCCATCCCTGGACACTATGGACAATTTTAGCATGGCTAATCCACCTACCCTGCACATCTTTGGACTGTGGGAGGAAACCGAGCACCCAGAGGGTGCCCATGCAGACACAGGGAGAACGTGCAAACTGCACACAGACAGTCATCCGAGGGCAGAATCAAACCTGGGTCCCTGGCGCTGTTAGACAGCAGTGCTAACCCCTGAACCACTGGCATAACTCCTGTCCTTATGTTCTTAATAGTCTAAGTAAGTAGTCTAGCAAGTCACTAAACTGTACCAAACCTGGAGGAGCACCACATCATCTTTTCAAGACAACTATGAGTTGGTGATGAATATTACCATACCAACAAGCTCTCATATCCCAATTACTAATAAAATACGCATTTTCCTGAGGTAGAAATGTCACTGAACCTCAGAGTATCTGACTATCAGATTGCTGTGATTTCAGGTTATTTAATAAAACCATGGGCTATATAAGTGAAACCAGGTCAGAAGTCGCACGAAACCAGGTTATACAACTGCTAAACTCTGAAGGAGGAATCCTGAAGTGTAGCTTACATGAGGATGAGAAAATAGTGCAACTTGGCCTTCTATTTCTTGCCTGAGAAATAAAAACCGTTACAATTCAGAAAGGTTTGTGCAACATCTGAAGATGGTGAGATATGGTTCAGGCTAGCTGTGGTGTACGCTCAGAGTGTGCAGTGAGCTAATCACAGCATCTTGATTTATCTCCTCTACTCCACCCAACCTTGTCCTGCTTTGGCCCATGTGTCTTCCAATTGCAGATAAAGAAATCTGAAACAAAGTTCCAACAGCTATTGCCATGAAAGACTCCTCCCGTCACTGTACACTGCATTGTCAATCTACATGTTTTGAAAGTTTATTTTCCTCCACAGATACAGCCAAGTGTAAAACTTCTCCAAGAACTACTTTGAAATTCAGATTTGAGAAACTCCATTACAGCTCAAACCCAGTAAGTACAGGGCTGCCAAGTCCAGCCCTTTCTTTATCGTGAATTTGTCACATTGAATAACTTCTCAGTTAAAGCATTTTCTCACGATAACCTTTGTCATGATCACAGTCGTTAAGCAGCTTCTTGGCTCAACGAATTAATGTTCACATTGTTCTGAGACGGTTCAATGGGGATAGCTGGAGACACTGGGCATAGACAGCAACCATAGAATCTTTGAAGAGAAGTAGTGAGATAAACAGGTGAGGCAGAGAAAGATGGAGAAAACAGCAATAGTGGGATTAGGTTTGAATTACTCAGGCAAAAAGCTGGTAGCTAATGATCTTCTTTTGGTGCTGTAAGCCCATTCTCAGCAAACAACTTCCTACACAGGCTGAGTTCTAAGCCTTTATGCATCAGTGCAATGTTCAATTAATTCCATATTATATCTGCCCATATAGTATACAATATTCCATCCAGTCCACAGGCTATCTATAACAGCCTATAGTGCTCTGCCTCCCTTAGTAACAGCATACAAAGCTGCAGATACTGAAAATCTGAAACAAAAACAGAAAATAGTGGAAACACTCAGCAGGTCTTTGAGCATCTGTGAGGGGAGAAGCAGGGTTAATATTTCAGATCTACATTCTGTCATCGAGCTGGCAGGAAGTTACAGATTTAGAATCTGGGGAAAAGGGTGGATGGAAGGAAGGAAGAAAAGGAAAGGTCAGCAACATTGTGGCGAGCAGGAGTGATTTAAATGGCAGATTAAATACAAAGGAAAAGCAGGTTGTCAGGGAACATGTGAGAAAAGAGAGGTTTTTTCTGGACGAAGTCACTAAAGAAATATTGCAGCACTTTGAAATGAGGAGCAGTGGTTGTGATCTAACTTTGTTGAATTCAAAACTGGTTCACAATTCTATTGTTAATAATCATTTAAAAGCTAACCAGCAGCTGAGTTAATTTTATTCCAATTGTTTTCAGCAGGGTCACTAACAGTCAGTGCCCCCCACCCCTGGCATTATGCACTTGTAAGGTCAGTCCTTACATTTGCTTCATCTCTATTCCTGATATGTGTGTGTTTTATCAACATATTCCTTTCGAAATACGTCAGAACATGTGACTTAGGAACAGGAGTCAGCCAGCCTCCATTCAAGCCTGCTCCACCATTCAATAAGACCATCGCTGATCTGATTGTAACCATAACTCCATTGTCCTGTCTACTCCTAATAACCTTTCACCCCTTGCTTAACAAGAATCCATCTGCCTCTGACTTAAAAAATTCAAAGACTTCTTATACTCCACATTATGAGGAAGACTGTTCCAAAGGTTCATAATGCCAAGGCGTGCAAGGCTATAGGCCAAGTGCTGGGAAATGGGAGTATATTTGACTGATTCAGATGCGATGGGCTGAAGGGCCTTTTTATGTGCTGTAGACCTCTATGACTCTTTGATCCTCTAAACAAAAAATTGTTTGTCTCTATCTTAAAAAGGTAACCCCTTTTCTTTAAACAGTCACCCCTAGTTCTTGATTCGCTCAACCTCTCCACATCTTCCATGTCAAGACCCCTCAGGATCTGAATTACAACATTTAAAAGGCATCTGGATGGGTATATGAATAGGAAGGGGTTAGAGGAATATGGGCCAAATTCTAGCAAATGGGACTGGAATAATTTAGATTATCTGATCGGCATGGACAAGTTGGAGCAAAGGGTCTATTTCCATGCTGTATGACTCTGTGACTTTGTGACTCTATGATATGTTCCATTCAAGTCACCTCTTGCTCTTCTAAATTCCAGTGAATACAATCCTAGCCTGTCCAATCTTCTGTCATAAAATGCCAGTCCATTCCAAGTATTAGTCCAGTAAATAGGTAAGGAATTGATTGGGTACGGGTAGTAGGTACTTACTAGTGGAAACCTTGCTGCAGTTTTATACGAATTTGGTGACTCCACATAATCCTGGAGCACTCTGTAGGAGACACCATACACAATTTTTTGTCTCCTTGCCAAAGGAAAGATAACAATTGCCTCAGACAGGTGCAGCGAAAGTTCACTGGGCTGAAACAAATGTTGCACATCTAAAATGAAAACAGAAGGTGCGGAGTAGAACACAAGAGATGGGAGCTGGAGTAAATTATACCCACTGAAGAATGACCCATCATTCAGTAAGATCATGGCTGAGATCAACATCTCAACATTTACACTTTATCCCCATATTCCGTGATTCAGTGAACGTATAAAAACGCATTAACTCAATCTTGGATACACCCATTGACTTCACTGGTCTCTGGGGTAGAGAAATCCAAAGCTTCACAACATTATGTATACAGAAGTTCCTTGTCTCAATCTTCAATAGCCATCTGCTTAATGTGGGACCGATGATGCTAAACTTTCTAGCCAGGGGTAACAGCATCTACCAAAATCAAGGTCTGTAAGAACTTTATACATTGCAATGAGATGTTCTATCATTCTTATAAATTCTAGAGAAGACTGGTCCATTCTACTCAATCCCTCCTCAGAAGATGACCCTCTCACCTCAGGATCAGTTTAGTGATAGAACCAAAAAATGCTGGAGATACTTGAGATCTGACAGCATCTGTGGAGATAAAAACAGAGTTAACATTTCAAGTCCTGTCTGACACTTCTTTGGAACTATTTGGACTCGAAATGTAAACTTTGTACTTCCAACCAAGATGCTGCCAGATCTGTTGAGATCATTAACAGTAACCTAACCTCTCACCACCACTTTCTCTTAAGTTTCCTGCCCTGGTTTTTTGTGAGGTTGTCTGTTTCCTTGAAGCCCTTTAGCTCCCCCAGGACTAATTTTACCTCTGGAAAGGAGCAAGACAATAAGCTGCCCTCGTAGCTCAGGTTCTAAATCCAAGCCCATTTCTGCAGTTGATGCATGTGGGGAGATGGTGGCATAATGCTAATGTTGCTGGGTAAGTACTTCAGTGACCCAGGATGGGGAGATAGGTTCAGAATCTCACCATTGCTGCTAAATTAATAAATCTAGAATATAAAGCTAGTTGGTAATGGTGACCTGGCAGCTATAACAAAACATCAAAAAAACTCACCTGATTCACTAATTAAGGAACAAAATCTATCTTCCTTACCTGTTCTGGCCTACATAGGAATACTGATCCAGAGATATGGTTGACTCTGATATTACCTAGCAAGCCAATCAGTTCAAGGGCAATTAGAGATGTGCAATAAATACTGGTGTTGCCAGCAACACCCAAATCCCATGGCAGATTAATGAAAAAATAGCCCAACAAGATTTCATATCAATTCCTGAACTGAGTTGCTGGTCTCTGAAAAATTGCCTTAGGGACTGTGTACAATCAGTTAGCCTCTTGATGCCACTGTCTTTAATCAGATGTGAACAAAACTGCATGGAGAGGATATCTATGTGTAATGTCTGGAGAGAAAACCAAGGAAGGGTTGAATATTTGAAGATTAAGATGATATTTCTCTCACTATTCCATGTCTTATTGATTGGTATTTACCAGCAAGTAATACCCAGACATAATTGGATCCAGATGAGCACCAGTTACAAACTTCACTTTCTCACATTTCCACCTATTGGATCCTGTAATTTTATGAGGAAAATAATTTTAATCAATGCTATTGTTGCAAAGACAGAAAACTGTGCACTGTAAATATGAACTTTCTTATAAAAGTGTTACAAGCTGATGGTTAGTTACTCTTGTTATAATGGAGGCTGTAAACAATTTAAAATTGTCAAGGTCATAAAGTTAAAATAATGCACAAAGCAAGTTCACATAAAGACATTAAGGATTGCTAGATGACACAGACCAAAGTCTAGTTTTGAAACTGCTTTTAAAATTTATTTTGAAAATAATTAGTTTCATTAACCTTGAGTGCTCTGCTGACTATACTCTCTACAATTGTTTTCAGTGAACATCATTTCAAGGATAATCCATTGACAGTAAAGGCACCCTTCATTCTCTCCAACAGCGAGTGGAAACTTGCATTCACCACAAACATAGCTACAGCTGGTTCATCTTGAGCTGCACCCCATCCTTTCTGCAAGTGAAGCACACCCTCCTGTGTCCTGGGAGGCTGGAAATTGCCAGGAAACTCTGTCCTATATCTGCTGTTACTGGGGTTCAGGTAGTCCACTCCAGCTTCACAGCAAACCTATTCAGGACCCACTTGGAGATGTGTTACTGTAATGGTTTAAGTAATCCAGCAGTCTGATGTGTGTACGAGGCAACACTGTAGACAGTATGGATAACCTTCAATGTCCCCACCTGTCCTTCCCTTGTGTGGTTCTGCAGCCTTCTGAAATGTAGCTTTCTTTGGCCAATTGACCGTTGGAGATACTGTTTTAAAAGTCATAAGCATGCTTCTTTACAACTTGCAATGGGATGTACCTGGGATGGATATTGAAGGAGCTCCGACATATCCTAAAAACAGACCTCCCTGAGGTCTCGAAGCCCATTAGGAAAACATTTGGGGTAATCTAACTGCCTCCTGTCTGAGGACAGAGGGCAGCAAAACTAGGAGACTACAGGGATGTCAATCTTCAAACACGTCCTCCCTTGTCTAGTCATCCTGAGGCAGTGAGGTGGCCGTACCTGAATCCCCGCTGATGTTGCTTTGCACAGTAATTGTAACAGAGCCTAAACTTTGTGTTGTAACCTGTTATTCACCATGTTTACACTGCCAATTAACAAAACTGTCCATTGTGTCCTGCTAGGTTTGTCGTCCGTATATCTGATGTTACATTTAAACGTGATAGGTGTGCAAAGTTACAAAAAATCTGCCTTTCCCGGTACTGGGCGAATATATCTTTGTAGGATTACAGTAAAATGTGTTCAACAAGATTATAATTCATTTTAGTTTGTTCCCTGAACAATGTGAAAGCTTCAAGTATTTTCCTTTCCAGTTTTATTTTATCTCCTTTTCTTTGTCAATGTGGTCCTTGGGTTTTGAAAGTCAGACGGTGGGCACCAGACCTGTTCCCAAATTTTCACTTATAGCTGGGCACTGGATGGTAAGAAATGATTTCTCACCTGTTGCACAGTTTGGGAACTGAAGTGAATCTGGCCTGAGCCGCCCTTCACCCCATTTCTGTGGCACCAAGACCATGTGCTCCTGAACCCCAACAATTACTAGAGCCACCCCCAAGGCTGCCATGTACAAGTGCCCCTAACCCACGGTGCCACCCTCACCCAAGAACCACTACTAAATGTGAGAGATCCAAACTCTACCATGTCCACCCCATCTACTAACTTTTAATAGTTTTGTCCCCGTTCTGTGTCCCTTCCTGAAGGCGAACATCACAAAATGGTGTCTGGTGTAAAGAAATAAACCTCAATTCTTAATTTAAAGCCTGCTTGAAACTCAAGAATATTGCAGTTTGGTGCAGGCGTTCTCCTCTAGCCCTGGGAGAGCTGCCAAATATTCCCTGGTTCTCTCTTGTTGTTCCAAGCCTACTTTATTTAGTATTGAAATTGGCACGAGAAACAGAAATCCGTTATTTTGTAAAAGTCCTCAATGTCTGGCCTTACATTGGTACTCTCCTGCGGATTCGTGTTTGATAAACTCCCCAATTTGATGTGGAATAATGTCTTTCCATTTTCAGAAATGTGACACCACTCAGAAAATGATTGGTCAGTGAGTATTGTATCTTCATGTTGAATTTTTAATGAATTAGTAGTTACAGTGAAATTGTCAAACACCATTTAGTAGAGAGAGAGCTTTTTCTAAAAAAAATGCCATGTTTGTTGCCCTAATCAGCCCAGGGGTGACTGTGAGAAGCTTTCTGCTGTTAAGATTTTGACAATAATTGCCATGTTTGTATTTGTCACTATCAAGGGCCAAAGCCTGTGGATAAAGGTGTACGGTTCTCACTGGCTGATTTGGAGTGTTTTTATTGTGAGGATTAATTCATAACCTCTGTATAGACTGAGTATCAGCTAATTCAGACAATATAGTACAAAAATTGCATGTTGGAATTTGCGTCAAGGTTAAAAAACATGCAAATGCAAGATTGCAAAACTATAAGAGGGCTGCTTGGGTGCCCTGCCACGATGAGGATTTGAATCCTTTAGGGATTGGATCACACCAGGTCTACTATCTTACAGATCTGAATGTGAAGTAATCTGGACCAAAGAAATAACAATTATCTCTGGCTCACCCCACTCACTTCCCTCTGACTCATCCTCACTTTTTTTCTGTTTTCTTTATTTCTCATTTCTCCTTTTCTCTCTCTCCCTCACTCACTAATTCCTAGTTACTCTTGTCTTTCTACTTCCCGTTGAATCTCTAACTCTAGCCTTCCTGTTGGGTTTCCACATGTATTGTCGCCCATCTAAACTTCTCATTGTGTTGTCTCCATTCATTCTCATCAACTTATTTAGACTTTCTTTCTCCTTCCTACTCCTTTGTCTCTCTTTCTCTTTCTCTCTCTCTCTCATTCAAGTGGATTTCCATTCTGTCTGTTTCCTTAATGTCTCCCCACTCACTCACTGCTCTCTCTTCTACTCATTTTAACTCCATACTTGTCCCTTCTGTCTGTTCCTCTCACAAGCCGGGCACAAATGAAATGTGCTTGGCCAGTCATTATCCAGTCTGTCACTGAAGTCTGCACCATGTAAAAACTCTTCACCCTGGGAGAAAAAGGCAGGGACAGAATCTGGCAATATCTTCTCTGTGGAATTCTAAAATGTTTCCCAAGCATTTCAATACATATTTTGTATTCTTGGCCTTATTTCAGAACTGGAATGATTATTTTAACATCACATCCACATGAGACAACTAGATGATTCTGTCATATGTTGGCCCTCTGTAAGATACATCTCATTGAATTGACTATAAATCACCTATGATTTTAGAGGCAGCAGATTTAGGAGTCTACCTGATGCCCAGAGACTGTCTAATCACTGGTTTAATGAAAGTCATTTTGTATGGTGCAAAATCAAAATCAAGTCTTCTGTATTCTTCTGTGAGGTCACTAAAATCTGAAAAGAATTTGCAAGACTTCCCATGTAATCAACCACAGTATCCTTGGGTGTTGGAATTTCAAAGTTGTACTCCCCACTTCTTGCATCTTGGAAAACTTCTTGCCCTAGTTTGGTGACAGGTAGAGGTTAGATCCTGGTTCCCCACACTTTCCTGTACAATCTCTCGCCCCCTGCATGGACATCCAAGAGGGAGTCACCTCATTACAAATAAATGTATTTTCTTTCAGACATTACAAAAATATCAAGCTGTTCACAAAGGAATGATAAACAGAAAAATAGAAACACAAGAATCTACCTTATATAATGAGCAAGCAGCACTTTATTGCCTCAGGTATTATCACAGCCTATAACCAGACATCAGTTCTGCCATCTTGATTTTCTGAGTATGACTTTCACCATTGTCAGATTGAACAAAATGGCTGACAGGTTTATGGAAAATGTTTATTAAGTATTACAAGTCTGGATAAATCTTAGTATGTCTTTTAGATAAACAATAAAATTCAGCTTAATTCTGTTTGTTCTGTTTGTTTAAAATGCTCAAAGGGTAGAAGGAATGAAAACACTCAGTGGGCCTGTAACTGCTGGGCACTTTCCCCGTGGTCGTGAGTTTGAGACTTCACACACTGTTAGAGCGATGAGAATATTCATTACTGGGAGACATGTTCTTGTTGGTACTGCAGAGTGATGAAAATCACACAGGATTTCTGTCGCTCAGTGAGATTAGCTCAAGGAGCGAGCTGGTCAGCCAGGCTTCTTGTCCTCCTGACCCCTGGGCTGAGCTAAGTTGCAGGTCAAAGGGAGATGGACTGGACAGGCTCTGTAAGGGAACCCTGATTGCAGAGACCTGGCGAATTGGCATGTCTGATATTGTCAAACTCCGGTGGGCTGTACATCTGTCCCAACCTGTCACCAAGGTGTCAAACACATCTCACTGGCTGAAGCATTCTTCCTTGCCCCTTTGGTACCTGCTAGTAAAAGTCTCCTTGGGGCCGATTTTGTTGGCCATTTCTCTGAGTATTTTCACTAACATTTGGCATTCTTTTGCCTTTGTGAAGAACCTTTGGGATGTTTACGATATTGAACAGTGCAGTGCCATTAAAAGCACAATTCTCATTGAGCTTGATGGCATCACTTAACACCAACAGGCGCAATCTAATGCTAATGTGTCTGTAATGTGATTTTTCTTCCAACTCACTGTCACACATATATATAAACATGCCCCAGTAGGTGTAATCTTTGAAATGCAAGAGGTTCCGAGAGCTACAGTCCTGCCAACGTGTATTGATCAAACAGAGAATGCAGAAGACTTGAAATTTGAAACAGTGGAATCGAGACCTACAATTGAGGCCTTTATGAGGTGAACTAAGGTGAATGGTTAGGATTATGTGCGTGGAACTGTTAATGAGATGTGACAGAGCTTTATGAAGCTGCCTGATCTATCCACGGATGTAAATATTGTACAATTAATTTATTGCTACCTTGGCAAATTTCTTTTGTTGTGATGTAAAAACTGGAGAATATCAAAAATCCTTGTTTGTATATTTTGCCCATGTTTCTGTGCGATGCTACAAATAATAAATGTATTTTGTGTCAGAATGATTTGAGTCATAAATTAAGTATTTCTTATGATGGGCTCATAACACGTCTATAAGTTCCGTACATAGAGGCCAGAGGGAATATGGTTAGGCTGGGAGCTTGAGGAAGTGTACTTATTCAGAAAGGAGAAGGTACAGATTTAAATTAATCAGTCAAAGAAGCAAAAACAATATTAGGAAAAACTTATGCACTTTTTCAGTGAATGCTTAGGATCAGGAATTGCATTGCCTGAGAGTGTGGTGGAAGCCATTCACCAATGAATTACCTGCTTGTTTGAAAAGGAGCAAAATATCCTGGGTTTCGAGAAGAAGACAGGAGACTGGCATTATGCAATATGCTGATTTGGAGAGCTTTTTCTCATTTCAAAAACATACTTTATTCATAAAAATAAATATGTAAACATAGAGTCCCTAAAACAGTTCGGTTCTGCACAGTAGCATAAGAAGAAACAAGCAAGCATTCGAGTTTGGCTCCATCCAACATCAAACCAACGACATTTCTTACTTGTGCAAGACCATATTTACATATATTTGAGACACTGATAACTGATGGTCTGATAACTGAAAGGACCCCCATTTAATTTCAGCAAAAAGACCTTAGATGGTGGCCTTTCCCCATTGCACCTTGGCAGCAGCTGCCCCAAGCTGATGTGGGTCTCTGATTTGAGAGCCAGTACAGACACAGTAAGCGGAAGGGCCTCTTTCTGTGTTATTAAAAGTTCTGTGATAGTTCAGCAGACTTCGTTCCAACTTCCCTGTACAAGCACCACTTTTAAATAGCAACACGGTCTTGGGGGTGACAGTTCTGGCTACCAAGAAACTGCCACTTACTCTTAGAAAATGATACCACTAAATACATAATGAAGGTTGTAATAAACCAGCAGATCCACAGTGAAAAGGAATATTATATCCAGTGTGAAAAGAGCTGCCGACTCACAATCACATATTTTCCACCCAGCAATTAATTCAAAGTGAAATTACCCCCAGCGTTGCTTATTCTCCCCATTCAGGAATAGCAATAGTGTGTTTGTAATGGAAGATTTAACAATTATATAGCACCTTTCAACATCTCCGGGCATGCCAAAACACTTCACAGCCAACTACATAGTTTTCAGGTGTAGTAACAGAACAAAGAACAAAGAAAATTACAGCACAGGAACAGGCCCTTCGGCCCTCCAAGCCTGCGCCGATCCCGATCCTCTATCTAAACCTGTCGCCTATTTTCCAAGGATCTGTATCCCTCTGCTCCCTGCCCATTCATGTATCTGTCTAGACACATCTTAAATGACGCTATCGTGCCCACCTCTACCACCTCCGCTGGCACCCACCACCCTCTGCGTAAAGAACTTTCCACGCATATCTCCCTTAAACTTTTCCCCTCTCACCTTGAAATCATGGCCCCTAGGAATTGAGTCCCCCACTCTGGGAAAAACCTTCTTGCTATCCACCCTCTCTATACCTCTCATGATTTTGTAGACCTCAATCTCCGTCTTTCTAATGTAAATAATCCTAATCTACGCAACGTCTCCTCATAGCTAGCGCCCTCCATACCAGGCAACATCCTGGTGAACCTCCTCTGCACCCTCTCCAAAGCATCCACATCCTTTTGGTAATGTGGCGAACAGAACTGTACACAGTATTCCAAATTTGTTCGAACCAAAGTCCTATACAACTGTAACATGACTGTAACTGTCACCCTTTACTTACACATGGAAACTCCTTGACTCTGGCACAGCCTTGTCTGATCCTGAGTGTCAGAATCTCTGAAACTCCTCTTTATCATCTGTCAGCCAGGGCTCCCTGATTGGGCCTGTTAATCTGGTCCAACTCATAGTCTATGAGGTCCACCTGGCTGACTTCGTTACAATGGGCAGTGGCGTTAGGAGGTCATTGAATATTTTTAAGTTAGTTGTTAGTTTGATTTTTTTTAACCTATTTTTCTAATCAATCTGTTCGGAGATGTTATTACACACTTCTGGAGCAGGTGGGACTTGAACTCAGGCCTCTCAGTGTAGGGGTAGGGACACTACCACTGTGCCACAACAGGGTTCTCTTGCATCTGCTTTTTAAATTTTTTTTCCCATGTTTTTCTAATCAACCAGCTCAGAGATGTTATTACACACCTCTGGCGCAGGTGGGACTTGATTCTGGCCCTCTCAGCTCAGGGGTAGGGACACTACCACTGTGCCACAAGAGGGTTGATTCTTAACTGACAACAGGGGTCAAAGGTTACCTGGGGTAGGCATGAAAGTGCAGTTAAGGTCATGATCAGCTACAATGTTAACGATTAGCAGAGCAGGCACCAACAGCCAAATGAAAATTATCCAAGCAATCATCCTCCGACACTTCCGCCATCTGCAATCCGACCCCACCACCAAAGACGTCTTTCCCTCCCCACCCTTATCTGCTTTCCGGAGGGACC